AGTCATTGTTTAAACAGGAACTAGGTGAGTCCATTTAAGTGTGAAAATTGCTGCTGCTGTGTTTACAGCTCTGATACCAACCATCAGTGTTTCAATATCATGTCAATATTTAGTTAAGTACATAGTGATGGACTGTTGTTACTGGGAAGGCTTGTGAGACCTACCAGCAGCCAGTGAGCTCACAAGTCAGTTCACACATAACATGACAGCAGAGGCAGGTAAACCATAGAGTCCCTGAGTATTCCCCACCACCAGCAGCAGCACTGACCGAAAGTGATGGACTCTAAATAAAGATGTATTTACTGTTACCTTTGCCACAGAGGTCAGTCTGTGGTTGCACTGTTCTTATTCCAAAATGAGGTAATGGTACCCTCTAAAAAAAACTAAACTGTCAGTAGTGTCAGATTCTAATGAGCAGACCAGCCAAAACAATGGTTTTTCCTGATACTACAGCTTTTGCATTATTTAGTTGGAAACCTGAAAATATTTTTTAAGCAACTAACAGTCAGTACAGCTCGTATGAGAATTTGAAACATGACTCATATGAGCCTTCCCCTAATGGATATGTTTAGGTCATGTATCTAAAATTACTCAGTAATATCATGGTTAAAGGAAACCAGTGGTGAGTGTTGATAGGAAAGAGGAGATAAATCCATGCTGAAATAAAACATTTTGTGTGTTAGTGTCATCTTATGTTATCATGTCAAGCCGCACCATAATCATTTATATAACAATGTTGTTCTCTAATTATTTTATGCCATTTCAAGTCTGTTGTGTTCAGGTATTTTGGTTGTTTCTGTTCTCTGTCTATGAACAGTGGTGACCATCTGCCACAAAATAAATGTATTGACTTGTCAATAAGGTTACGTTCACTCTGTTGTTTACTCGTGTTTCAGATGCTGAGGCTTCCACTTGTGTTCACATCATTCATAAAAAAGTTGGAGACACTGCGGTTCTTCCATCATGTTTAAATGAACCAACTGAAAATGTTAACTTCAAATTTTGGAAATATGGAGAAAAAACTATTATAAAAAAAGGTCAAAATGTAACACATCTCAACTTCATGGGTAGAACAGACCTAAACCCCAAAGACTTTAGTTTAACAGTGAGAAAACTGACTCGTCAAGATTCTGGTGATTTCAGTTTTCTCTCAGAGGTGAATAAGAAACAAAGACCAACAGTCACCATCACTCTGCAAGTTCATGGTAAGATTCCTGACTTTTTGTACCCAAGTAACCTAATATCTAACTAAATGAGTCAGTTTTTATTGATTGATGTTTATTCTTACAGTAGAGAAGGGATAGCACAATGACACAGGAAGATGATTTTCTTGTAATAGCTCATACTAAAGCTTTATTTGCTTGTAAAAGCCCATTAATGTTAAATGTGGTGGTTTCGGATACTAAAGCTAATTATGCTAATTTAAATTGGTATAATGGAATGTGCAATTACACTGATAACATGTAGTATTATCATGTTACATATTATAAGCTGCGTGCCCTATCCCCAAACTGTGAATCTCATTGTTTTACATGTTGAGTCAGATTACGTTGTGATTGTCTTTGTTTGTTGTTTATATGATTCAATTGATTGTTCCACTTTTTTTTTTTACCCCACTCTTGACCAATCACATCAATACATCTGCTGTATACTGATTTGTGTTTTTGGAGCTGTTCCTTGGGCTTAGAACAGGGGTCAACAATAGAGGTTTTACTGACAAACTGAATTTGAGGTGTTTGCTGTGGTGAAATCTTTGTTCTTGTGGGTTACAGTTAACAAATGTTTAACATCTAAGAAAAAAATCTGCATATACACATCTACAACTTTTTAATGCTCTTGATCTCACACACTTTTTCTTTCTATCCGCCATTAGAGCCCATAACTAAGCAGCCTGACCTGATGATCAATTCCACTTGGGTTGCTTCAAATAAATCCTGTACCATTTTTCTGGAGTGCAGTTCAGTCTCTGACATTGGTGTCACCTACACGTTGGCTGTGAGGAACCAAACCCAAAGTGGCTCCAAGCTGCAGTACAACTTCAGTCCAGAGGAGGGAGAAACCACATTTACCTGTACAGTATCTAACACTGTTAGTGGGATGTCGGCATCCAAAACAGTGAAGTGCAGCAACGGTATGTCTCAGCAATCAGGACAATATTATGTGCAAAGATGTGATTAGTCGAACCTCGGATTCAGGAGGAACAATGCGGTTTTCGTCCTGGCCGTGGAACATTCAACCAGCCTCTTCAGGGTGGCGGAGGGTTCATGGGAGTTTGCCCAACTAGTCCACATGTGTTTCGTGGATCTGGAGAAGGCATTCGACCGTGTCCCTCGCTGCGCCCTGTGGGGAGTACCGGAGCAGGAGCTTGGTTTGCATTACCGGCAGTAAGTCAGACTTGTTTCCAGTGCATGTTGGACTCCGGCAGCTCTGCCCTTTATCACCGGTTCTGTTCATTATTTTTATGGACAGAATTTCTAGGCACAGCCAGGGGCCGAAGGGGG